CAAGTCTTCATAAGGAATAAATGGATCTGGATTAGCGCAAAAGAAAAAATAGTATTATTCCGTATTAACAGATTTCCGCGTAAATAACTTAATGTTCATATCAATAATTTATATAGCCAGAACATGCTCAAATATTTCTGAAATTGAAAACACAAGATTTTTGAATGTGCGTTTGGCGTAAAATACCTCATAGTTAAGTTATTTCTAGTGTCCGCCGTTCTCATTCCACAACTCAATTTATGTGCAAATCAAGTTTCAAAGGAAAATTGGTCTTGTCGCAGAAATTATGTAAAATTTCATAAGCTCAGGAATAATATGATTGATTATGAGGAAAATTGTGGTTTTACCGGACCACAGCTCAATTCTAATTTTGTATTCGATACGGTTTATATTACGAATTGAAAATAAATGTATTCTCTGGGATATGGATAGGTTAATAATTAATAATTATATAATCGTAATAAAGAAAACATTACTTAAATCACATTTTGGATAGATGGATTGCTTCCGAGTTTATAGCCTAAAGGTGTCTCGATGGAATTTGACATAGATGTAGAGGATAATCTGGAAAAACACACAGGTTACTTTTGATCCCGAAAATAGTCACGGTTCCCATGAAATGGTCATCAAACTCAACTCAAACTTTCATGAGAATTTTTGAAAAAAAATTCCGGCACATTCATACCATGCAATTAAAATCAAAACCAAAGGGCAGAAAATCTATTGATATTATCTATCTATCTATCTATGCATATTAGAAAGGTATCGTTGTGACGAAACAAACACGCATAGCAAACAATTGTGAACTATCGATATTCGGTATATTGAATATAGTGTAGAGAATTTAGTAATTTTATTTTTATTTTATTTTATTTATTTTTACAGGAATGCCAACAAAACATATTAAAATAGATTTACAGGTTAAATCTCAGTAAAAAGTATAAACATAAACTTGTTTCATTTACAGGCAAACACAACATTCGCAGATATAAAAACAAACAATGTGTAAAAATTACCTTATATCTCAAAAATTACAATCAATAACAATAAATATTTAAGTGGTTATGATGGAACTTTTATACTTAACTTTCTAAGAAATGATGATGTAGTATCAGAAAAAATGTAAATGAAATAAAAAAAAATTAATAATTTTATTAAATTCAGATAAGAATCTGTTAATAGGTGCATTTCTGCCTACGTTCGAACGATAACGACTAATCATGAACAGGTCTTTCTTTCTACTCCGTCTTTTGGACGAGTTGCGTGGAACCATTAATTTAATTTCACTAGAAAGTTCAGGGACTGTAACTATACCATTCACTATTTTATACAATAACGCTATATCTGTTGTTTTTCTCCGATGACTCAAAGACGTCATTTTAAAACGTTCTAATCTGTTGTCGTAATCCAGCTCGCGCGGACAGGCCCTATCTTTGTAAGCTAAATACCTAGTAAAATTTTTTTGAACTCTTTCTATTCTGTCAACATGACATTGATACATTGGGTTCCATACTGGAGAGGCGTATTCAAGCGGGCTCCTAACATGCGCGTTATAGAGTATTTTAAAGGCAAAATGGTTTCAAAATCTTTACAGCACCTTTTGATAAACCCTAGAGTTTTGTTTGCTTTGCCGACGATATAGTCAATATGATTTGTAAATGAAAGCTTACGATCTAAATAAACTCCCAGATCTCGTACAGTAGAAACCTCATGTAAAACAACATTTTTTACTGAATAAATAGAGGGAAAAGGCCTAGATTTTTTAGTAAATACATTTACTATTATATGTATACATTTTTGGGCATTTAAAACCATTTTATTCTTGTCACACCGTTTCTGAATAGAATTAATATCGTCCTGGAGTAATCTAGCATCCACAGAGCTCTGTACACATTTATAAACTTTGATGTCGTCGGCAAACATGGAGCAATTACTATTCT